GAGAACATGCAAACTCCACACAGACAGCACCCCAGGTATGGAACTGAGCCCAGGGCCCCAGCAATGTCATCCATGCCCTGCCACATTTGATCAAAACTGCCTTCCGATCCCATTTTCAATTTGCTTGCTTTTGATTGCCTGCAACGATTTTTTTTTTCTAGCGTTGCCAGTGAGCTACAACACAACTGCCAAGATCTGTGGCTCTCCGGTACAGATATCTCCAATCAAAGGCAAAGAGACCTACCGAAACTGAGCCAGGAGGATGCAGGTTCATCTTGTTGTAAGCGAGGTGGAAACAGAAGGGCTAATTAAGAGCCAATTATGTAACCAGCCCAGCTGAAAACTCCGCTGTAACCTCTCTCCTATCTGAGCCTTAGGTAATAGGAGCCAATTAGCTACACTTTGCCTAGCCTGCAAGGAAGAGACTTCTTAAATAATAGCGTGCATTGCTCGCCTTATCCACAGCCTGAGACAATGCCTGAAATTCACCTGCTGGGTTTCTCAAATCCTTCGGCTGTTCAGTGGAGAAACCTCAGCACATCTGCAGCAGAAATCTGCCGGCAGCCCAAATGCCTTCTTTAAAGACACCGAAGGAGATGGCGGATGGTGTGCCCAAGACTGACTTGGGACAACTTGAAAAAGAGCTTATAAAACTTAAAACGACAGTCTTTTTAAGTTATTTTACGGCTGCAGATGTGGAGGAAACGGGCGAGCTCGATGCACAGTAGACTGCCTCGGCACCAAACAGATTTCGGCAGCCAACCCTAATTCTTATATTCACGTACACAATAATACATCGTTTATTTTGACTGGGGAAGGGGTGATGGAGCTGGTATTGCAGACCATGTACGAAAGGTGTATTTAATACTACCATAAGGTTTTGAAACCCATTTCTGTCTTAGAAGATCAGGCGTCCATAACAGGTATCATTAGATAAAGCACAAATCGATATACTAATGAACACATAGTTTGACAATCAGTCGGCGGGTAGAATATACTCCTCTACTATCAGCCACGCTTTGTCGATATTTCTAACCTTTAGCGCCTGCTGAATGAACAGATAAGCAATGAGACGCAATCCATTTCAACCCCCCCCCCAAAGATGAAAGATTTAAAAATTCACATGATACATCGCCGGTCGAGTCATGAATGAATACCAGCGGGGCTCTGACACTCACAAATCAGATTGTGGCGTTGACAAATAAACAAAAACATTCAAACAGGTCCTACGCAATGCTGCCGCGGACTAGCGCCGTTAGCTGAATCGCGAAGGCAATTCGAATTCGCAATGGCAGAGTGAGGGGTTTTCAGGCGTCGAGTCCTTGGCGTGTCGTCTTTTTTTTTTTTTAAGAAAACGAGACATCTCCGGGCTCGCAAAGTCATCGTCTCGTTTAACGACGCGAAATCTCAAACTAGCGGGGTGATGTCGAATTGCCCCCACCCCCCGACTGGTCTCGCCGTATGCCCCTCAGAAACAGTTTCGCCAAATGGAATGCTGCACGATACAGGCTTTATCAGTCGCTTCGGTTTCTTTGTAGGAAAAACGTTATGTGCCCACAGAAACAAAGTCAAATCCACGCAAAAAGTATCACTGGCTAAATATGGCAATGCCCACAAACTTTTATTATACTCGCGTTTTAAACGGCGGAGTTTTTCTTTAAAAAAAAAAGCCTTAGTCTTACCTTTTTGTAGACTGGGAGCGAAAGTTATAATCCATAAGAGTAGCATGGCTTTATTTGGGTCATGAAGTTCCATAAAATGCCCCTCAATCCTCAGTCCGCTCGCTCTCCGCTTTGAAGTAGAAACTGCATCAAGTCCCATTTGTTTGTATTTCCCTTCGCCTTTAACGCGCCCTCGTCGCTGATAACGGGGAGGTTTTTTTTTCCCAGTTCAAGGAATCTGCGACGCAAACTTAGAACTCCTCGACTCCGCTACTCCCCCAATCCCAGCCTCTGCGAAACTGCTCGCTGGCGCTCCGTTTCTCCCTCTCCCTGTCTCCCTCTCTCTCCCTCTCTCAATCTCAGTTTTGTGTTTTCCAAGAAAAAAAAAGGGGGCTCATTGTGCTTTCTAGAGGCGTTATTCGGTATTGCAGAAGGAAAAGACGCGTGTCTGTGCCCCAGCTATGTGTTCCGAGTTCGCCTCGGGCGGTTTTGTTGTCACGGCACAGCTAACAGCCGCAAAACGACGATTTTTTTCCATTTTTTTTATAAGGGGAAAAAGAACGTTCGCCCACCCCCTTTTTTTGATGAAACGCGGCCTCTGGAGTTGACACCGGCATGAAAAATTATATTCTTTATTCCCTCCCCTAGCGAAAAAAAAAAAACCAGAAGCAAACAATTTCTTTGAGATCATCCAGTATGTTGTTTTCGGGGTTGGCTCGATACTTGTCGATTTAGCGTGTCAACGCGCATGAAAAGAGTTCAATCTGGAAAATAAAACGCGAAACTAGACAAAACATTTATTAAGGATGCTTGTACGTTCTTTGTCAAAATCCATAACAGCTACAGGCACACGAGGCTTGTGTTAAACCAAATGTTCTTTTTTTCCCCAAAAAATTAAACTTTATTTTTACTGCTGCAACGCCTTGTGTGTTCGGTGACACAACTCCACTGTAAAGCACGGCGAATCCCACAGAAATCGCGTCAGAAACCTAAGGCACAGGAATCTGGCCATGGCCCCGTGAAAGTGCAGGGCCAACACGCGTGTCCCGTCGTGAACGCCGCGCAAATTGCCCGCAGTAGGAATGCGGAAGGAGTCTCGCCCAATTAGGAAGATTATTGTTGTTGACTGCCTACGCCAACATTTCTGCTGGCCTTCTTGGTCGCTGGTTCCCTACCCCCCAACCCTGGTCCCAGGCGAGCGCTGTCTTTATCTGTTTTTGGTTCCAGTTGGGTTGTTAATCAGTGGAACTGACGGATGCCTTTTAATTGATCTGCCTGGTTATTTAGCGTTTAGCTCACCGGCTTCTGCAGTCAGTCCTAGGTTTTAAAAATACCGGCCTCCTTTTATCAAAAGCTGGAGCCTACAGAACGATGCAATCTCCGCTCGGCTTTTCTTCCTAATGTCTGACTTAACAGCTCTTCATGAGCGATCAATTAACAAAGAGCAGACACAGGTGGGAATGTGGGAATGTGTGTGTGTGACTATCACACACTTCAACAATTTGCAATCATTATCTTTTCTGAAGAATCCCAATTAGATACATTTCCCCATTGACAAGTCTAAGTCAAGGAAATTCAGAACCTCAGGCTAATGACAATGGCAAACCCCATTCAACATTTCAGGAGCTGAAACCCAATTTGAAACTATATGCCACACACAGAAAACAGAAACCAATTAGCCAGCAAATACGAACTTGACTGAAGTCAAACATGTACCGTGAGACACCCGAGGACCTGAGGACCCCAGAACCAGTTCTGGGGACCAGTGTTGCTCCATGTCTGGTTACTTTCGGAGCCCTTTTACACTGCTCTGTGATAGATCCTCTTAAAATTGTCAAGTGTGCAGACAACACCCAAACGATTACCCAACACGACAGAAGCAGCAAGTGAAATTCAAAAAGATTAAGATAAAATCCAAGACCGGGCAAATTTAACATTAAAAGTGCGGAAAACTACGTGCTGGTAGCGAAAAAATATATATATTTTGGACGCTTTGGTCACATAATGGGTCATGCTTAATTTGAATAGGACACAAATTCGGTTGACAAGTTATTGAAATCTCCAAGTCAAAGTGGGGAATCAGATAGGACGGCCAACAAAAAATACCTAGTTGAAAGCTCAGAATCAAAGCACGTTATGGTAATTTGGGGAACCCCCCAGTCAGATCTCACTTCGAATATTGTGAAGCAAATTTGCTTACCAGACTTTCAAACATTATTAATATGGAATCAGTCCAGGGAATAGCAACCACACACTGAACATCCCAGAGCCCGAAACAGTGTCCTACGTGGACAAGCTAAAGGAGCTGAATGTTTCCAGCCTTTGATAAAGACTCATGAGATGATCTGCTGGTCGTCTTTAAAAGTCCTCAGGGGCACCGAGATATCCTCCGAATCAACAGTGAAACACCAGCAGACACAGACGAACCACGTCCGTTCCCCCGGACAACTAACGTCTGTCGAACGTGATAAATATGCCAATGTTGATGAATTATGGTGAACGCTAGTTTCTCGACCACTTCCACGATTTCTTGTGTGGGATTTAGGCTCGCGGGAGTCATTTGGGAGAGGAGCGTGTGAAAGAACTGGCAGTTTTGTTTTGTGTAACTTTGAACCCAAATGACGGCTTCGCGTGAAAGCGCGATAATATGTTGGCATAAAAAAAAATCAACAAATATAATGTGAAAACAAGTTTCGTAAACTCGATGATTAAATTCCTGGAATCGTCAGGGCTAGGAAGTGGAAGAGTAAGTAAGAATTCTTACTTACTTTTCTGTAAGTAAGAATTCCATTGTACCAGCACCGGTTACGTATGGCAATAAAGTTCAAGTCAAGTCAAGAGCACGGCGCAACCGCGCGTCTTGAAATACGCAATTTGAATGTCTAAATTTGTAGCGATTTCTATGGGCAAAGGCTCTTGTGGGAAACGGAGACCACTACTTGGCAAACATTTATTGTAGAGAAACAACACGTATACCTTGACAAAAAAAAAATATCGACATTTCTAAAATCTGATGTCATTGTGTCAATCATCCTAACCTTCAAAATGAGCTAACGGTGTCAGGAATATTTCTAGCACCATCGTCGTCATCATCATCATCATCATCATCATCATCATCATCATCACAGCCAACAACAATACTATTACTACGAATAATAATATTAATGATAGTATTATTAGTAATAATAGGTTAAAAAACGCTCTGAGACACAGAAAGGATGGTTTTTATCTCCCTCTCGTGGCCATTTAATTTTCAGAGCACACCGTAACATTCATGAAAAAAAAAACGAGACTCAGATTTATGCCGTGAGATAATCGAGTTGCAGACAAAGCTCTTGGCACCCATTTGCTAAAACAAGGCTGTTCGACAGCTTATCAATATGGCCTGGCACAAACGTTCTCATTCATAAAAAAATCTTTACACGTCTTAATGACTCATTCATTCCAGCGAGCAGCGTGGCTAAGATTTGTTTTACAGCACCAAGTGTGATCACCCTCTGCTCATCCTCAGTGAACCATATATTCTCATATGCCATGTTCTCAATGCCCCCATTTAAAATTGCTGTATTAAAATGTATTGTAAACTGCAGGATTTTGAGACTTTTAATGATCAGAAGGCAAGGTCGTGGTAAATATGCAGAAAGTGCCGGTGAATTCACGTTTTGCCTTTGTCTTATTTGCTCATGTCTAACATGCCCGTTTGTGTTTTGAAAATTGGGTATCGCTTTTCTGAATTTGTGTTTCATACCAAAATGCAAATTTGGACAGTCACTATTCACTTACATATTCCCCTTTACTGAGGATACGTACAGTAATCCAACTGGATGAGGACGTTTAAAAATGACTGTAGGGAGCCACCTACAGGCGAAAGGTGACATAACATCACAGCCGCAGCATTTAAGGTGGAACGAAAAACGCGAAGAAACCAACTGCAGCCTCGTGGAGAACGACAGCACCTAACAAACTATGTAATTCATGTCAGTATTTTACGGGGTGATTTAGCTATAGGAGGTCAGCCATGATTTGACTCTGTTTCAAGCCACAGAGACTTAGCAGAGACTTTAGGGCTTTGCAGTGCTTGATGTTCCTCAGACCACACCGGCTCTCGGGTTCCTGCTCTCCCCGTAACAGCGAGGATCTCGTCGGGCCGGTGTGGTCTAGCTCCCCGTGAGCTCTGTCTCTCGCTGACCCACCTGACCCCCCCTTAGCCGACCTGGACCGATAACTCTAGAATTCCCTATATAGCGAATTTGGCTTCACACCGGTTCTTTAATTACCTCGTTCCTGCGTGCATGTGGAGTGTCTGACCAGCGCCCTCTGGTGGCTAATTCCTTTAACTGACACTCCAGATCTTGTTGCTCTATTATAATTATTAATAATAATTGCTTACACTTATATAGCGCTTTTCTGGACA